TGTATATTTCTTTCTTTTTCGGTCGCTCCAACTCTGATTCTGGATCAATATAATAAATATAAAGATGAATTTCCCCAGTTCTTCCCGTTTCGGTGCCTCTGTCTTTTTCGTTCAGTTTCTGTACCGATCTCTCACTCTTTCTCTCTCTCTCTCTTTGTCTCTCTCTTTGCTTCTGTCCTTATGTCTCCCTCCTTTTCCCAACATTTGGGTCTCTCTCTCTATGTCTATCTCTCTCTCTCTCTCTCTCTCTCTCTCTCTCTCTCTCCTCTCTCTCTCTCTCTCTCTCTCCCTCTATCTCTATCTCTCGCTCTCTCTGTATTCTCTCGTTGACATGCAGGCAGCATCGCTGGAATTAAATTGTTGCCTAATTAGTTGAAGCGTCTAAAACATGTTGATGAATGCCTAAGCAGTTGGTACGTGCACAGATACATAGTGTTATAACCAAATGGCAATGTGGGCAAGAGCAGTTGAGACCTGTCAATGAAATATTTGTGTACTAAATAATTTAAGGAACAGAATTGGACACGGCTTGAAAAGGCTGTTGGCTGTTTATATAAGATATATAAGCACAAGCTGCAACAGTTAGCAAAAAGATTTGGCTACATTATATGAGACTTCGATAAGCAAATAATAAGCTGAAAAGGCATCAAATTCATTAATATAAGAAGCCTAGAGCACATTGGAGGTCATGGCGATAGAACCAAAATTCTCTTAAGTTGGATTAGGCTGAAAAAAAGTCTTTGGGCTACTAAGGTATATATTGAAGAAGATTTATGCATAAACTTTAGAACATAAAATTAAAAATTACTTATATTTAAATTTTAATTAAAATGAATAATAAAATTAAAAAGTAATTATGTACTCAATAAAAATAGTCACATATATGAAAATTTGAATTCTTCAGGTTTTTGGTAATATAGAAATGATTGTAATCAACTGAGCGCCATTGTTTTGCAGATTTGTCTGGCTCGGAATATTGCGTTTTCTGTTAGTGTGCGTTTGACTTATAAATTTAGTCAGAGCACGTACCGTAAACTTGGCAATAAATCCGGAAAACCCAACCGTCCGTGCCAATGCTTCCCCCTCTCTGACTCACGCCCCATACCCTCTCTCGCTTTGCGCCCGCTGTGTTACACGTGGCGTATCAACAATATCGACATGGGTAAACAAGCCCTGGGGTTAGCTATTTGCAGCTAACTGGGGGAGTGAAAGTAATTTACACTTTTTCAACTTGAACTTTTGCTCGAACTCATTTTGATATTTACTTTCCTCTCCGCCTCTACTCTGCAGTCAAATTAAACCATTCGCTGCGAGGGCAACAAAAATTAACACAAATGTATCATAAAGTGACATATCTCGATGCAGACTACCCGAGAGGAAATGCCAACTGCACAGAGCCTTTGAGCAACCCCAAGGACATGGACACGTGTTAAACATCCTTATCGACAGTCATTATCAGTCAGCAGCGGGGCCAGCATGCCGAACCTTCATCATGTCGACTACAATCGGAAATATTCCGCAACGGAAACGATACAGGTAAGTGCCCCAGTCAAATTATACATGTAAATACACGAAAATATATACAAATTTAAATACATATATATCTTCGTTCTATATGGATACATAACCAATTCGTTGACCATTTGAAATGCAACTTGAGTGTGCTAATTAAAAATAAGACGTTTATTTACTAGCTTCCGCCCCAAGTGGCACGCGACCTGAACTGGCTGTCCAGCCCCACATTCTTTTCCTTCTGCCGTCGGTCGACTTTTTACACCCACAGGCAAGACTAGAGCCTAACTCTCCATCACTTCTTCCACTTTTGACCTCGTCTTGATTGATGTGCGCGTTTTGTTGTCTGAGCAGCTCAACAAATTAATTGAAGAGTTTTGTGTTCTTTGGGGGGGGCTGTTACGGCCACGCCCATGCTACCCACTAATTGCTGTCATAAATTTGAGCTCTAGTTCGAAATAAACATTCGTTGGATGACTGTGGCGGTTGGATTAATGCCCAAATGGGGTGTAATAGACGTGTGAAAAGCAATTCAAGTATGCTAAAAAGGGTGAAATACGAACTTGAAGTGAAGCTTTATTCAAGTCATAGAAGTTAAAAGTTTGTGGAAAAAGATTTGCAAAAGTGCTCTCAATATATTACATATAACCGAGTAAATTCACATGGGATAGAGATATACACATTATCTAAGATATCTTAAAATTTGAAAATATCTTCCTGCAAGAACTCAATTTAAGATAGTTATTATCAATAAACAAAATAAGTAGATATAGGGAAGTTAAGATCAGAAAGAAACAACATATTTTTTATACGGTATCAAGTACTATTCAATTGCAGTAGCATAGTACTATAAAATTCCAGTTCTCATTTTCCAACAATTGTCAAGGGGTGTTACACCAGTTTCGTTCTGCGGCATTGCAGGGCATTTAAAAATCGTTTAGCTCCTGGTTTTTTCCTTGTTGTCTCAGCTTTTGGCTTTCCCATGAACACTCTTTGCTTTTATTGTTGTTCTTGTTGCTGCTTTTGGCGCTCTTAATCACAACAACGAGAAAGCGTCGACAAAGTTTGCTGTGCTTTGTTTTTGCTTTCTGTTGCATATAAAAACGGCGCTTCCGCAAGGCCGGAGACAAGGTCTAGAATCGTTTGCTGTATCTATATACACACACACACACACAAATATATGTACACAAAAACATATATATGTATATGTATATGTATATGTATATGGAACTTGATTAAGTAGTTTCCGCGTGTCTTTATTTGCACAATAAAAGCACAAAATTGTTGCTGCTGTTGCTGCTCGTTTATTAAAGCCAGGCAAAAAGCGATGTTGCAAAAAGTGTGAAGTAGACTCTTTTTGTAAAGATGCTTCGACTGCAGGACGTCGCTCCAAGGGAATGCCAGACATGCTGTTTGCCATTTAAGCCGCTATTTTTATGGCTTTTGTCGGACTGATGGCGTTATGACTCTATTGTGACACGGCGCCGACGTGCCACAGTTAAAAGTCCATTTATATTTCGGCAGACTAGCAGGAATCGTCTGGTTCGAAGTGCGCGACTAATAAATGCCCTATGCAATGCATTTATACTCTGTTTCATCAAAACTGGATTAAAACTCAACTGCTTAAAATATGATGCTGATCCCTACTTCCAAGAGTTGGCCAAAAAATATTTCGGGAGACTAAATTCTCTCTCTGGCTAGGCATGTAGGTTTTGCAGCTCAGAGATATAAATATTGAATATACATTAGAAATATTGCTTCCGCTAGTAGATTCTTTGTTTATTGTCGTATAGAGCCTTTGACTAATAGTTTAGATAGGGTTTTCTAAAATGCAACTGGACCCCAATCTGTAAATATCATTTGTGTCGCGAAATTTCAGTTGTTAAAACCATTTTTAATGTCTGCTTGGGGAATCAGTACAATATATGTATATACAGAAAATAAAGAAATTTACATATACATACGTTCCGCAAATTCTTTGAGAACTGGAGGTTGACAGTGACGACTATGTGTTTCTTAACAAAATTGCAAATAAGTTATGATAATATTTCGCCAAATATCCAAGCCGCAATATTTTGCATCTTATGTGTGCATAAATACGGACAGATGCAAATGTAAAGGGGCTTGATGGAGCAAATACGATATTTATACTGACCAAGGATACACATGTATAATTTTAGTTTAAGTTAAGTTTAGTTTAATAATTCAATTGTTTTTAAATTGATCAGTTTTTATGAATATATGGTATATGTTAAAAATGGTAACCGAATCATAAACATTTTTTAATGAATTATAATCTGTCTGCGTATTGCTTATCGATAAGACGGGTCTAAAGGGACATATTTATTAACAAATAATAATGTATATGTATATGTATTAGTGCCATATGGCACGGCCTATTAAAAACAATTACAAAATGCCGCTACACAGCTCTCGGTAAGTGTCTCTAGCAACAAGATTGGTTTGCTGCCCTTCTGCTTTAGTTCGTTCCGTAAATTCACTTTTCGCCGCATATGCTGTCCGTAACCTTCGTATCGAAGTCTTCTTCTTGTTGTTTTGTTTGCAACAACCAAAAGTTTTTCTCTTTTTGGCAAAACAAACAACATAAATATGGATTTCTCATTAAAATGCCAAAGTTATGCCAAAAAGGAGCTCGGCCTCAGCTGCCGGCACGTCGTGATTGCCGGGTCTGGCTATTGAAAGTAGCGCAGGCGCTCTCTCACTCTCTCTCTCGCTCTCTCTCTCACACACTCTCACTGAGAGTCGCTCTCTCAATGTCAATGTCGCGGCATTGTGCTCTCTGCTTTTGTGGGCTCCCTTTTTCGCTAGCCGCTGCTGGCAAAGTCACGTGCTGCCATTGACGGAATTTCATTGCCTGTTTGCCGGCTTAGTTGTGCCCTCATCCACCACCACCTCTTTACACCCTCTCTCTCTCTCTCTTTCTCTCCATCCATCGTCTTGTTCGCGCTTAACACTCCGGCACGACAATGCGCGGCATTTGTCATGAAACGGATTTCCGGTACTGCGAGCGTCACAACTTTGCTGCACAGGGTATGAGTTAGGAACTGTAGATGAGTACTCTTCTAATACCCCGTAGCTATTGCAAAATTATTTTCATTGCAAGTATGATAAAATACATGCAGATATGCATATATGCAGTGAAGAATACAGGGCATTGTCAAGTCGGGTTAAGTGAATCTGTATTCTCCCATTTCTTATCGCTTGTTGTTTTCTCTGAGCTTTGACTTTGGTGGCATGTGCCAGGCTCGTCTTGGCCCTTCTGCTTGCAACAACTTGTTCAATCTTTTATGACAAAAGACTCGTGCTCAAAAACAAAAAATTGTTGTTGCTGGATCTGCCCTGACGCAAAAGTGGCTATTTAGCATTTTAGAATAGGCGACCCTTGAAGCCCGCAGACCAGCCCGAGCAGCCCCTCTTTATTCATGTTGGCAGCCATTTTATTTGATCCATGAATTTTTCATTAATTTCATTAGATTGCTCAAGCGCTGGGAATTTTAATCAACGCCCTCGCCCGGTCTCCCAGCATCGAATAATAAATATGACACGAAGTTCCACAATGATAATAGTTAATGAGATGGCCCAACGAGGGGTGGAAGCCACACTATCTCAAGCTGTCCTCGGGCTAAATTAGTTTGCTGCCTAAATGGTTAACAATGCGACACTTTGGCGGCAGTTTGAAAGCGTCGGCAGTTAATAGACTGGCAGATGGGGAGGATAATCGAGCTTATATGTCTAAAATAGTCAAAGTGCCTATGGGCCAGCTTATTTAATGAATTAATGAAGCCTTAGAGGGTCTGAAATAATGGGCTTGGATTAACATAACTGCTAATTGTCGCAATTTAAGTATTTATTTGCTGAATTCGACATAATTTCTGTAATAAACGATATTCATATTAATTTAAACAGTATTTGATGAAATATTATTCTAGTATATAAACACAAATTGATTATTATAATATAACTTAATAATTTCTCATATATTTAAATATTAGTTTGTTTCCAACGATTCATCCCTTTCCATTTTTCGCAGACAGCTTCATTTGCGGCCGTCTTTTTACCTGATATGCATATGTGCACATGTTGCGCTGATAAGTATGCAGCAATTTCACTTAATTTTTATCATTTTTTCTGCTTATAATTCGCAACTGGTTTAGGTTTTCGTTTGATGGAAGCCCTGCTGGTTGGCCAGTTAGGGTTATCTTTGCGCAGAGGCGATATCGTAACCAATGAAGTTCTACTGAGGTGCGA